GATGAATGGTGCCTGCCTGGAATTTGGCCTCAAGGCTAAAAATCCCTATAAAAACCCCGGACAGTCTACCCTCCTGCGTGGATTTGGGAACACCTATACCTTTGAGTATAGACCCCTGTCCACCCAGCGCTGCGCTGTTTGTTTTATTGTGGTTTTCCCTCATTGTTTATTTTTTTATAGAAATTGTTTTATAATAAATTGTTTTTATTTAACCCAAATCTGCCTTTGCATTTATAATGACAATCACTGAGGTCACTGCAAGCACTTAAAAAAACAAACAAAACTGAAGTTCATGACTTCTCACCTCCCATCCTCCTGTTCCACCCCAGCCCTGCCAGCAAACAGAACAGCTTGGTCCTTCAGCTTTGAGAGCCTGGGCTCCCTGAGCACCAAGTCCCAGGCAGATCACAAATAAGGTCTGAAACCCTCATCCACTACTCTGTGCCCAGTAAGAATCCCCATACCAACAGGACGGCACTGAAATACAAGAGGGATGTGAGTAAAGTCAGTTTTGGATTTAATCCAGTGTCAATCAATAAAGATGTTCCCAACTGCAGTCTGAGGCAGATAACCAAAGGACTGCCTGGCCACATGCACTTTTTTTTGCAGCTGAAGAAATCAATGCATCTTAAAGAAGAGGGTTTGAACATTTTTATTTCAAATTCACCCCACAATATTCAGCCACAGGCTCTTCTAAATCCCACTGCCCTTTCTAAACACAATTCCATGCTGGCAAGCTGTAGGGCTGGGGGATCTGCCTGCCCTCCAGCCCACGTGAGCACCGGCACGGCGCTATCGCACCCGAGCTAAACTGGGGAACACTTCCCTGCCCTATCTCTCCTGGCACCCGCTCCTCAGCCCCATGACTGCGCTGCTGGGAGCAGCTCCCAGCTGCAGGGCCAGGGAGCTCCTTAAACAGCTCGTCAGAGGAGGTGCCAGCAGCTCTGGGTGACACATCCAATGCTCCTGGGGGACAGGAGCCAGCTGTTTGCAGAGCAACGGCTGAGCAGCTGTCCCAGTCCAAACCTGCAGCAAGGCTCAGCTCCAGTTCCTGGCAACCTCATCAACAAGGAAACAATCAGGCAAGGCATAAATGAGACACTGAATCACAAAACCACGACACTCATTATTACAGGATGTGTTTTCCACCTTATTTCTTAATCTTCACACTTACAGAGGCCAGTAATCTCATTACAGGCCGTGACCTCTCAGTGGTCCCAAGCTCTGCAGAGGCAGGACAGATGATTTTTACAGAAGAGGTAAATAAAAGTTCAAGCAGCCAAAAGAAAGTAGCAAGAAGGATACAACAGGTGGTCTTCCTTCCTTTTATGCACACTGATTTGGGTAATACAAGAATCTCTATCCCTCTATTGGTGTGTATGTGGAAATACCATTTTTTCCATCACCCAGAAAACTTTGGCCCCAAGTACACTGGACATCTCAGCTTCTCAAACCCCTCTTTTTAATTATGAAGTATTAATCTGGTAATTATCAGATAAGATAAAATAAGCTCTAGCTCTCTAACCAGCTTCCAGAAACTGGAGACATAATTTTTTACTTTCTCCTCCTAAAAGGAGCTCAGTAATGCTGCTGATGAAAATGGCATGATGATCTAATGGATCTTTCAGGATGAAACTCATGTCAGATTTAGTAAAATGATAAACAAAATTGCATAATCCTTAATCTAAGATATTAGCTTAAAAGAGAAAAGAATGTAAAATATGCAAAGGTGTCAAAAACAAAAGGGTCAAGTGTGGGAGAAGCATGTTCTCCTGAAAGTAGACAAACATAGGGAAATCCTCTGACATGTCAGTATTACCTGTTATTTCCAGTCATTTACAGATATGAAATTCCTTATGTAGGAATTAACAGGATACTGTTCTCAGTAATTTGAAAACAAGATCTAGGAGCCTATATGTGAAAAATGGAGTTGCCATCACACTAAAGAAAGAATGTGGTGAGGTTTTTTATTCACCTCCCAGCGGCCAGGCCACAAGACTGCTATGTCTTTCTTTAGAAAAGCAGAAATACCAGGAAGATACCCTTTTTTTGTGTTCTGCTGGCGCCTAACAACTCTCAGATAACTGTCAATTAGCAACACATGGAAAACAAAACTGATCTTAAAATGTACAAAGCATTTATACTGAGAGCAAACAGAAAGACTAAATCTTGATCTTTCAAATTTCCTCAAGCTACCAACAAATTTGTTTGTTTTGAAAGGGAGCTGATTTGTGTATACACCTGGCCAGGGGAGGAGGAGAGAAAAGGAAGTCACTGATGTATTAATAATGTAATTTATTTGCTCTGCAAAGAAATGCTATACCAAGTGCCATATAATCATTATTTTACACCAGGCCACATTTGACCTCAGCCCAGTTCTCTATCACGTGGGGATGAGGACTTCTAAGTGTACCACTTCAGTATTACATATTCAATAAAACCCCATACAAAACAGTGGGAAAATAAACTAATTCAGTTGATAAGCCTGAGAAAACAAAGCCTCCAGATTAGCAAAGTCATACACTGTTCAAATGACATGAGAATAATTTTGTTCTGCAGTACACCATTCATGTGATTCTACTGCAGCAATTTCATCATATATTTGCACAGAAGTTCCATTCCCTCAATGTGCCCTAAGTTTAAATGAAGTTTCTTCAAAGTCAAGGTATATTCAGCAGACCTGAGATTTAACAAAATTCAGGCAACATTTAGTTTCAAAATTCAGGATATGGTGTACTCCTGGAAAGCCACTCTCACAAAATCAGGTCACACTATGTAGTATTTTAATCTTGCTTCAAGCACAGACTTCGGACAGTGGGTAGAGAATAAATTCCAATGCAAACTTCTAGCTGGTAATTAAAGGTAGGCAAAATTTAAAGCCTCCATGGCATTAATGGTCAATATGATCCATTATTCACAACATTCAACACCCTCCAAGATACAGGTCTATCACCAGTCCTGATTGTCTCTCCTTCCTTCCCCTAAAAAGCCGTATTTGCAAGCAATATTCCCTTCAAATTTTCCATCCTCCCATCCAGCTCTGCCCTGGCTGGCGAGGTCTGTGGGCAGGACCATGAGCTCCAGCAGCTCAGCCTGCTCCCAGCACGGCAAGGCAATGCAGAAAGCAAACAGTTACAGACCTGGCTGGCAGCTTTGGCACAGATTTACCACACGCTCACACACCCCCGCACATCCAGGTCTAATTTGACAGTGCCCATGTTCTCCAACAAAGCTGCTATTCAAGAGCCAGGGGAAGCTTGTTCCTTATTAATGGAGCCATGGAGGTTACGAGCTCTGAGAGGCTGACGTAAGCCATACCCTGCTGCAGCCCAGCCCTTTGCTGCCTCCAGCTCCCTGCCACGTTTTAAACTCCAAACAGAAAAATATTATCACAGTGAGCAAGCCCTGCACACTTGGCATGCCCTGTTTTCCACACAAGCAATTTCTTCTCACCACATCCAGTCACGAGCACAGCCATGCACCCCAGCACACTTTGGGGAGGAAAAACAAAAGTGGGGGGTACCTGCACAGAGACAGCATTACGTGCCTCAAAACCTACTTAAAAACCTACTTAAAACAGTGCTGGAAACCACAGGAGCTCTGTGACTTACCTGAGAGTGTTACCACTGAGCATTTGCAACTGAATTAATACAAATAAACTCCTTAGGGACCAAAGAGAAAAGAAGCAGCATCTCCAAAAAGCTGATGGGAAGTGTTTTTTGTGAATAGTAGGAGAGGAAAAGAAGTGTTTTAATTGGTACTCACATACAATGGAGCTTGCTGTGGATTAAGTTTCATGACCTCAGAACACTGAAACAAAAAAGAAAAAGCAAGTTTAAGCTATTTTTCATAAAATTGTAGGTACTTCTAAACCAGTTGCTTTAGCACTCACATATTCCTTTTTCCAATGAGCACTTTTTCTCTTCCCCTTCATGACCATCTCTGTTCATCTTTCCTCCTAGCAATCCTCTCTTCATATCTGCCTTTTATGACAATTATCATTACTAAATTGAAACCCTTCCACCAATTCCTTCGTTCCCCCATGAAAAATAATTTATAAGTATTTGTAGTTCTCTCTGCTGCTCAAGAAATCTAACTACTACCTTGTCCAAGGTAATCTGGTGTAATTTTTTATGCCTTTCACTGGATTATTTGTTGAAAAAACATTTCAAAACTACATAGAAAATAAACTATCAAAAATGCTCTGAAGGAAAAACTTACAGAATATATGATACTCACAGTTCTGCATTAGCGTTTTTCATAATCAAATTCTACCATTACCCATTCTGCAAAAGCTATTTTAGTCAAGAATCTTTCCTCTTCCCAGTTTGTCCCTGAAATTTCTCTATAACCTGGTGAAAGTTTCTTATATTGAGCTTTGAATCAGCTGAACCAGAATTTCTCTTGCATTAGTTCCTCCACTCCAGCAGAAAATATTCACTCTAAACAAAAGCTCTAAGTTTTCATTTAATGTGTGTATTAAGAGATCCAGGATCCTAAGATGAAGGAATGCAAAACAATTAAAAATGGAATTTCTGCTGTTACTCATGTCTGCAGAACTGGTAATGCTCTGCAAATACTTCAAGCCCTTTTTAAAATAGATGAAATACCACTCTGCTTTTCACACAAAAAATGTGGGATCTTGTTCATACTTTGCTCCTTTCCAAATCCCACAGTTTGCCTTTAGTGAGACAGAAATTAAACCACAGCCTAAATTCTCTTAGCTGATTCCAGCTAGCCTTGCTCCCTCACATGCTCTTTTTATTTTACATGTTTTTGTGCCAGTTGCTTTAAAATACCAGAGCAACCTGCCAAGCTTGTGCATCAAAACAGCCCCTCTGCAAAAGGTCCTCTGAGGCAGCCAGTGGATGGACAAGTATTCTGTAAAAGTTTTAAATCCAGTCCAATTCATACCTATTTTCAACCTTGAGATTCCCTTTCACACAGCAAGAACACCCCAAAATGTTTATGCCTGATAGTTTTCACTGTATTTTCAGCTCTTAAAAAACTTACTGAGGAAAAGAAGGGATTAGTAGCACTAGCTGCCATTTGGGCAGGTGAGCTCCAACAACAGCTCTGCAAACAATATTCACTTGTGTCCTATACCATGCCTCTGGTAGTTCCAGTCCTCCTGAGGGCTCAAAATGAAAAAGACACAAAACCAAAAAATGCACAAACCCTGCTAATCTACCTCATGACCAACCTGAGCCTTTATCTCCTGTTCTGAACCTGGGTGTCCTGAACAGGAGCATAAAAACATGACCTAGACAAGAGCACTTATTGTATCTTATAGAAATCAAACCATGCTCAGAAAAAAACCCCAAGCTTTCAAGTTTACCTCACATATGGATTTTTGGAATTTCTCATTGCTATAGACTAATTCCTAGTGAATTCAAATTCATGACAGTTTTTGCTGGGTTCTTTTCTGGCAAGAGAAGTGCACAGTAGCAGCAGTGAAATAAAGTGACACTGCTGAACACTGGGTCTTGTCAAAAAATTGTGGGAATACTTCCTGCAGGAAGATTTTCCCCCCTGTTATCTTACTAGTTGGCCCTTACATCAGTCACTTAAAGTGACTCCTTGGTTCATAATGCACATGTCATTCCAATTTTTCTAAGGATGCAAACTTAATTTGCAAGGAGCCAGGCAGGTTTGGAAGATATTTTATCTTGTTAGGAAGTTCTTTGGCAAAAACACAGGAGAAAAACTGAGTGACAGATTAGCCTGAATGACTACTCTGCATCAACAAGGGACTAAATTTAGGTTTCTAGACAAGTGAATTTCTCCAACCAAAGGAAAGGCAGGGAGCAGCCTCTGAAAAACTTTAAAGACCTTTAATCCAGTAAGAGGAGAAAAAAACAAAAGGCAGATCATACTGGTCATAACCAAGCCAAGATACATAGGGATCCTAATACAGTCAACAAGTTGGACTACTTCAAGCATAAAAATGAGGAGGGAAAAAAAAAAAAACAACAAGAAGCTAAACTTTGTTTTCTCCTGTTATTTAGAGGAGCACATCCTTCCAGCCAATGCCTGCTCGGAGCCCCAGAAAGCCATTTCTATCTTTTTTGGCCAGGAAGAACTTGCTGTACCAGATGCAGAAGAATGCAGTGAGAGTAACTGGCCCTACTGTGAGATCAGGATCTGGACTGCACATGAACTGCCTTGGAAGCCAAACTAACAAGAACAGGTAAATATAAATCCCACCTCCCTTGCCCAGCTCCCACCCAGCACCCCCATGGCAGCCCACAGATTCTGTACCAGTGGCAGCTGCCTGGACTTAAAACATTTATGGTATTTCTCACAAATATCTAAATCTTTTCAATTTCAGTGGCTGGGAGGTTTATCACAAGCTCCATATACATCCAGACAATTACACTGCAAGGTTTCTAGAATTATATTAGGTTTTCTACCTCAGGATAACACACTGAAATCCCTTGCATTTGCAAATTGGAAAGTAGGACATCAAATGAAAATCCAGGTTCAAACTCTTCAAGACAGCAGTAGTTTTAGACATTATAATGATCTGCAGATGCCAGTAAAATAAAAAGCTAATGGAGCCTCCTCAAAATGGGACAGATACCTTTCTGCTCTGTTAAGCACTGAAGAATTAATACAGTAAGTTTTATTAATGTCTCTTCTAGAGAACTTCTGTGTTATTTCACACAAAATTTCATGGATGAGGATAAATAACTGCTCTTCATTTCTCTGGCTATGGTAACATATGTCAGGGAAAGAAAGGAAGAACAATCATTTATTTGCTTTACTGTGGTTCCAAACCTCATCCAGAATTAGGGCCCCACTGGTTAGATGCTGTAAAAATGTCAGTGCAAACGAAGTTTCTGCCCTGAAGAGTTTACAAATAAGCACAGGCAGCAGGAAGGGATACAAACCCCATGTGCCAAAGCAATAAACCCTCTTCATCCACTACTCCCAGCTACCACTTAATTTGGCTACAATTAGGTGGTTTATTCTTCTAGGCATCATAGGCAAAGTGTGTATCGTGTGGACAAATCTGACAGGAAGGTCAACGTTCCTCCAGGCCAACCCATCCCACACACAATCTGTCAGGCTGAAGAACTTTGAATACCATGTAGACAGGAATGCCAAAATGCCTTTTCCATTTTCCCATCATATCCCCTTCAGGATTGCTCTTTTTGGCAGTGGGCTTACATCAAATGCAGGTTTCACTGCCCAGCTTCTGTGAGCTCCCCAGCATCCACTCCTGGCTGCCTGGCTCCATATGAAGTGTATGTAAGAAAGGAAACACACTGACACTCTCAAGAGATGTCCATTAATGAATTTATATTGATTTTTATTTTTTTTATCAGAAAGAAGATCTACAGAATGGGCAGAAACAAAAACGATCACTCTTGCCTCCAACAACTGAGCAGAACTGCAACAACCAGGAGGATGAGGGGTATTTAATCCATGTGGCACAGCTGGGAAGGCCTACCTACCCCTTTCCCTTTCCTTCATGCACTAAATAAATTTCAATTGTAAATTCTTGAGTTTTTTCAAGCTTTTTGAGTTCAGTTTTTAGGTATTTTAAGTAAACTTCAGTTAGGCACATACTTCAAGTTTAAGCTTTGCTGAAATTTATCTGAATCTCAGCACCTGACCTTTTCATTTATCATTTTAACATTTGATTTTTAGAAACATTGATCCTTATTTGCAAAGCTTTACCCATGCACTCTCAGCTGTACCAAAGAGAAAAAACCAAACCCCGAAGAAAACCTAACCCAATCTTAACCATAAAGAGCTTGTGGTTGCAAGCAAGAAAGAACAGCCAAAAAACACATGAAGAATCTGATGGTTACAGATGGCATGGAAAGCATTGCAGTAGATAAACAGAAATGCACAGAAAGCAGGATGGCTTTCCAGCTGTGTGTGTCACAGCATCGCTGGGATCAAAGCCAAAGGAGGATTCACTTTTTTTTTTTTAATGCAACAGAATTTACTTTTTACAGAATTGACATTCCATAACATTGGTCTGAAGAGACTAAACTTTGATTTCAAGGTTCTGGAGCAACACTTCACCAGGTAGCCAAACTACATATAGTCTATAGAATTTAGGAAAGCACTGTTGATGCTGGTTATCTGTAAGAGAGCAAGAGAAATAGAATTTCTTTTATATATTTCTTTTAACAGGGGCACCAAAAACCCACACTGGGGCAACCTGCCTTATAGGCAACCCCAACCCTTTCGGCAAATAGCCCAGAAGTTGTAAAAGTGTTTAAAGAAATCCCAGGATTTCCTGGGAGCACACATTCACCTCCCTTGCTGAGCTGCATCACTTCCTTCTATACGGCTACACTACAAAAAATAAAACCAAGATTCCAAAACCACATCACTTCTCATTCAACAAAGTACAGTGTCCTCAAGGGCACTCCTCCACACTCTGGTTGTACAAAATGTTAATTTATGAAGTACTTGGAAATATCAAGAAGATTGGGTTTCAGGCCCTACAGAGCTGCTGCTCTAAACTACACAAGATAAATAAAGATGGGGAAGTGGTAAGGGGAGCAGAGAGGAGACCAACTGCCCATATACAGAGGAATTCCTGCTGGAACCATGATTTCATGCAAGGAGAACTAAAATAGCAATGTCTTTCATAAGTTTATTGTTCTCCCCTAGTGTCAGGGGAATTGCTAAACTGGAATATTCCCCTTTTCTTCTGAGTGGTATATGACCTTTATTGTGTTGTATTACCCATCATCAGTCTCCTCATTTTTTTGTTATAACACAATTATTTGAAAAATTGCTGGTTTGTTTTTTTTTTTTTCACCTGTGGCAAAAACTCTCAAAAT